TATATTATGATATATATATATATTATGATATATATATATATGATATATATATATATGATATATATATATATATATATATATATATATATATATATATATATATATATATATATATATATATATATATATCATATATATCATATATGTTTATTCAGATGGTAAGATGGCCTTAATTCCAATTACATTTATATTTCTGATTCAGGCTCAGAGTGCCAGCTCTATCAGTTGATATGTTTCCCAGTTTAAGAATAGAATACTCATTTCTGTTACCCTGTGAGACAGTTGTGATTTTTCAGGTACCACTGATTGTCTTATGAATTAAAATTTTAAGTGTGTGAGAGAGAGAGAGAGAGAGAGAGAGAGAGAGAGAGAGAGAGAGAGAGAGAGAGAGAGAGAGAGATTGAGATTGTGCACTTATGTGTCTATTTATGTCTCTTGCTAGACAGACATTTTTGTTTTTTATTTTGGAAATGTGGTTATGCTTGTTAGTTTGGCATAATCCATAGACAAGGCCTGACTTATTGTTACTTCATAGGTCCAGTCATAATCAGTGTGTCCACGCATACTGTGTTTACTTAAACCACCATCAGTGTAATACTCATGAAGTCTTTAAAGATAGAGCACAAAAACAAGAGATGTTGTGGGAAGCATTTATAATTTGGTGGGATCTGTCATTTTTTTAATCTCCATTGTTGTTTATGAAAAAATCATGTTTTCCTACATTTGACCATGTGAAAATGGACTGTGTTCTCAAAATTAGCCAACTAGAATTATGTGTGATAATGTTCAGACCTCTTATGAATAGATAATTGTAAGACCTGACAGCCATATTTCTGTACTGCAGAATTTTGAAGATTGAGAAGTTTGAAACAAGAAGGAAGAAACTTACTATGTGATTTTAAAATATTATGGTTTTGATGTAAGAAGGATACCAAAAAGTATATGGAAAGGAAGGAAACATAGAGTAGAATTTGCAGTAACAAGCCCAAATGAAATGGGGAAGCATAAGGAATTATCTGTTGCATTACAGATATACAGTATCTGTATTTCCATAACCCAAGAATAATTTCTTTTCATCCCCCCAAAATTACGTATTCCAATCATTTGTAAGAAATAAATGATGAAGTACATTCTCTAAAAAGACCAGCTGTATTGTTCTTATTTACCATTTAGTGTAAATGAATTTATGTGTAACTAGATGTTTGTGCATATATGATCCATGGTTCAGTGCTTGTAAACTGTATAATGCTTGTCTTTTCATGCAAGTCAAGTAAGTTGAAATTACATATTATTTCTTCTTTGGTTGTACTTGACTGATACATGTTCTGTGTGCTTCAGTTGAAGAGCAAAATATTTCATATATGAAGTCAAATTCATGTAGACCATTTGTGAGTCAAAAGCTGGCATGATGTTCTTGAGGGGAACAGAATGTAGAAAACTTGGACCCTTAAATCTGTTACTGTCTATTTTGTTAGTCCAGCCATATCCATCATCTTTCTTCTTTCCTCTCTGACCCCATCATCTTTCTCCTAGCTCCAGAGGTGCAAGACTAGTATTCTGCTTCTTTGTTGTGAATGAAATGTTGTGACCCAGAGCCAGTAAGTCTGGCACTGCCTGATACATTTGTTTGATCAATGCCCAGCATCCTATCCCTCTCATCTGCTGAGTCAGACATATGCCCACTTCCTTGCAGGGTTAGATTTTCATGTCTTTCTTTTTTTCCCTGTTAACTTTTCATTATATAAGTACCAGCTGTTTTGTTATAGATTACATATTTCATTACCTACATGTTTTCAGCTTTGATGTTCCAATCTGTGGTGTGTATGTGCACTTCTGATGTGTAAAATCAAGCTTTTGAAATATCAAATACCAGAGTTTATCTTAGGGTGAACAAGCAAGATAGGAATAACAGCATTCAGAGATTAATGTAACTTCATGCCTAAATCATGAGTGATGGATTATGCAAAACAGAACTAATGTACTATCTTCTCTTATTGTCTCTTCCAGAAACCTGTGGTCCTAACAGATACAAAGCTTTGTGATTCAGCCTTGAAATGGGACCTGGATTACCTAGCGGAGAACATGGGTAGCGAGAAATACATGGTGTTTGTATCAAAAGACAACAAATTCAAATATTACGACGAGGCGAAGATTCGACAGTACAGCAGTAACTTCATCCCACCCACCCGGAGAGTTGACATGTCTTTCCCCGAATTTGTAAGGAAGCTGAAGGAATGGAAAGAAGGAGACGAGAGGTAGGGTTTGCTTGTGCCTGAAATCTTTTCTTAGCATCACAAATGTAAGGAACACACATATCACTTTTCCACCTTTTCTTTTTGCGCATTTTGCAGGTTTTTCGTACACGTGCATACACCTATTTATGTTCACTTGAACATGCATAAGTGATGGTACTTTTTGTTGCAAAAATCATAGGTAATAAGTTTAATCAATTCTTTTGACATATAGATAGGTGGAAAATTTGTTATTACTCGATAATTATTTCAGACATATGCACACAAGTAGGCACCCACAAATACACATACACTCATAAACATGCACATACACATATACATACACATATACATACACATATACACACACATATACACAAACACACACACAAACACACACACATACACAGACACATACACAGACACACACACACACACACACACACACACACACACACACACACACACACACACACACACACACACACACACACACACACACACACACACACACACAGACACACACACATAGACACACACACACAGACACACACACACACACACACACACTCTTACACACACCGATTGATTTATCTTTCATTATTTCCTCTAATGTTAATATCCATTAGATTTGTAAAATGCTATCTTGTGCAATTGCCAAGGAAGGTTTGTGACCACCTGCCTATCATGCTAGCAATATTTTCTCTGATAACACTGGTAATAGGAGAGGTGCCAGTAAGTATTCTCTTCACCAAATAGAAAATTTGTCACTACGTTCTACGAAGTTTGCCTCTGAATTTTTGCCTACAAATACGATCTTCAGGAAATGTTACTACTGTTTCATTCAAGTATTCCAGAAAGGCTATCAAGATTGCAGCAAACATTCATTTAAGAAAATAGAAGTTGCAGTCATTGTTTTTGCCTTTTTCTGATTATTCGGTCTTAAAATTTTTATTTCAAAAATATATTTCACTGAGGCCAGTGCTTTGCAAGATTACATTTTTTTTTTTCTTTTCTTTTCTTTTTTTTTCAAGTTGGTATGATAGAATTTATCATTTGTATCCCCGATGCTGATGTATCCCCGAATGCTACACTTTCCTGCATCTTCCATCTGGTTAGGCAAATGTCAGTAATTGTTGCTGATTTTACGTGTTCATTTCTGAATCCTCAGAACTATGAAATGCCAAAAGAAGACAAGAACAAATTAATTATTACTATTTACTTGTTTGTTAAGCACATCATTGTGTTGTAGTTACTTAACATTTATCTAGTGAGAAGGCATGTGAGAAAATGTAGCATTTGTTAAGTCTCAAATGGTAATTTTTTCTTTATTGATTTATAGAAAGCATGCCACTCTACAGAGCATTGGCTTCAGTAAAGTGCTTGTTTTATTAGAATGTTAACACATAACTTGCATCTTGAGGCCACAAATGTATTAATTACTGCATTAGTATGCTGGTGGTTCAAAAATACTAAACAAAAGTATTCATGTAATGTTTTTTTTCTTTTTCTTTTTTACAAATGGTAATTGACTATTGTTTTGTTTATGTTTTTATATTTTTTTTAGAATACATGAAGAAAGGATGATGAAATAAAATATATATGATTGTTTATGCTGTAAAAATATGGTTCCTCCAGGTCTAATGTCTTCAAGCTCATATCCAGGCAGGCAGGAGAATGTTGTGTAATGGGAAAATACTGCTGTAGCTACACACTTGCTCAGAAAAAAATCTACATGGCCCATGCTTTTACTCTGTATGGATAATTGGATTACTTGCATGACACTATAATATGAGGGAACATTTCCAAAGATGGGGCTGAGTATCTGTAAGCAAAAATTCTGTGGCAAACTGTGTAAAAAGCAACAACTATTTTTTTATAAGTTGAAATGAATATGTATTATTACCAATGTTACCAGACTAAATATCACTGATGGAAAAGTAGGGGTTACAAAGGCAAGAAAGTTCTGTGTATGTGATTATAACTAATCTGTCTAATATATGTGCAGCTCTGTCTTTGGTATGGTTGTGTGTGATGTCATATACTATGTGTTGCTAAGGTAAAACATCTTACCGTTTGTCTCCCTGTTGTTGTTTAGTTATATATTGATGTATGTAGTTGTGGAAATTTTAGGTTACCATTATCATTTGGTGTTTTTTACCATTGAGATACAACTGTGCATATGCAGATGATGTGACTTTAAATATTATTTCTTGCAGAATATATCTTCAGCAGGGTTTGAATAACACTGTTGGTCAAGCTATTGTAATGGACTTCCTGCAGTTCAACTGGGAATGGCTTAACGTCCTGCAGAAGAAAAATAATTGGGGACCCCTTACCTCTAATCTATTATTAGTGGGCATGGAAAGTAAGGGAAGATGTGTTGTGAATGTTCTTTTTGAATTCATTAACTTGTACAGAGTAAATTATAGGAAACTGTGAACTCTATACCATTATTTTAAGAATTGTGAAATGGTTTAGTTTTCTTCATTTTTCATGTTTAAGCAATTACACTGTAGTGACTAATAAAAGAATCTCTGGTAAGATACGTAAAAAATATAGGAAAATTAACCAAATTTAAGTACAGACATTAATGCATATTGTAATTTCCACTGCATTTATTCATGCTTGTACAAGCACACACATTCACACACATGCACAAAACTATTGCAATATATGCTTATTAAGTGTTGCAGTGCTTTAATACTTTTCTTATTTTATGTCACTATTTATTGTTTTCCAGAAATGCCTCTAGCACAGTATTCCTTA